GTACCTATTGGGTATACTGATTCGGATTTCCAATCAGACAGAGATTCTAGAAAGTCTACCTCAGGTAATGTGTTTACTCTTGGAGGTGGAGCCATAAGTTGGAGGAGTATCAAGCAAACTTGTGTTGCTGATTCCACCATGGAAGCAGAATATGTGGCAGCTTCTGAGGCAGCCAAAGAGGCAGTTTGGCTCGGTAACTTCCTGAGAGAGTTGGGCGTGGTTCCCTCGATTCAAGCACCAATTACACTTTATTGTGATAATAGTGGTGCGGTTGCAAATTCAAAGGAGCCACGAAGCCATAAAAGGGCAAAACACATTGAGCGTAAATATCATTTAAAATGTGATATAGTGTAGAGAGGGGATATAGTGGTCACCAAGATTGCGTCAGAGAACAACTTGGCGGATCCGTTTACTAAGAGCTTACCACAGAAGACTTTTGATAAGCATGTAGAAGGAATGGGTGTCAAAATTGTAGATGCATGGTTATTAGTCTAAGTGGGAGATTGTTAGAATATACTATAAGCCATACGCGTCCTGTCGCGGTTACGCCAGGACCGCGGCCAAAGTGGCCTTCAGAATCTGCAGCAGTGTTCTGCCGCGGTCCTACCGCGGTTACGCCAGGACCGCGGCCAGAGTGGCCTTCAGAATCTGCAGCAGTGTTCTGAAGGCCAATTATTTATTTACTTGTTTAAATTCCATAAAGTTTCCTTTTATATAGATCATGTATTGGTTTGTATGTCCATTGCTTACATAGTAGATGATTTAGTGTATAGAGTTTAACTTATACACGGAAGATTAAATCATCGGTTCTTGTAAGACATAGAAGTTAATGTTCACAATCTAATGATGGAATTGGACAAATCATCGGAATGGTTGTAGTACAAGATTAAATGTAATTTATCTTGATTATGGGAATAGGTCTAATTCCAACTTCTTGTGCTAATACATTTTGTATGTATTGAACGGATCAAGTAGAGATAAGTATTTTATACTGACTTTATAAAATAATTTCTCTAGTCCATTTAATGTACTTATACTCTTAATCCTGATATAATTATTATTAGCTGTGTATGTCACTTGTTGTTTTGATTTATTAAAAGGCGAGATTCTTTCGTGAGTCAATAAGCCTGGTAAATTGGATAACAATGATATACATTGGCGAAGTAATAATTAGTTGATGGAATCCATGTCTCGGTTTTGAGATTGATGATACTCCTTTATGAAAGCTTATAAGTTTTCATGTGTAAACCCGACCGATAGATTTTGTATCCGACACATGAAATAAGTTAAGTGTTAGTCTAAAGGAAGTAATCAATAAATTAAATAGTCAGTAATTTAATTTGATTGATTAGTATCTGAATTTTAACATGAGGAGTTAAATAAGGTTTTATGGAAGAATTTCGAAATTGAACTAAGGAGTGCAATTACGAATTTTTAGTGGAATAATTCGTAATTTATTATGGTAGAAATTAATTTCAAATTTCGAAATTAATTCCATAATAGGAAGCCTTGTTAATTAAATTATGTGGTCCCTACTGTGCCTGAATAATAGGAAATAAAGGAAACCTTTCCTTGGTGGAAGAAGAAAACCTAACAGGTTTTGGAAAAGTGTTTTGACCTAAAAAACGCAGCCATATATATATGGTATATAGCTGGTCGTTTTTGACACAGAGAAAAAATACACGTTTTTCTTCCTTGAATTTCGCCCACCCGAAGTTCTCTATTTTCCGGTTTTTATTTGGGTAACACAGTAGAAGACTGTGGAAGGTTGCTGAGGTCTTGCAATTTTGGAATTGGAGAAGGATATCGATTTGCTTTGTTCACGCTTCAAGAGTTAACTCGTATAATCTCCGTATGTGCTAATTGTTTAGATTACATGTGATTATGATGCTATGTTTGCTTCCGCTGTGAAATATGATCCAACAGACAATTTGTTGTTGTTGATGCTTCTTTGACTTTTTCACTACTGCATTTCTTTCTCGATACTGTTGTGATTATGCATGCTTGCTTTGAGCCAAGAGCGAATCGGAAATAACATCTCTATCAGCACAAGGTAGGGTAAGGTTGTGTATTTTCTACCCTCCCCACACCCCACTTGTGGGATTACACTGGGTATGTTGTTGTTGTAAAGAAGTATGAAACAAGTATTTATGTAGTTAATCCCTAAACTCATTGTACATTATTCATTTCTCAGTTATTCTCTTCTTGTTCCCATGGCTACCAACTCATCAGAAAATATTAATCACCTCAATGAAGTGATAGTTGCCATGGTACCATTTCCTGATTATAGCCATCTCAACCAGCTTTTCATTCTTGGTCGCTTCATCGCTTCCCATAATATACCAGTACATTTCCTCTGCCTTGCTGATAGGAACCAAGATTTAAAACTGCGCGTCCAAGGTGATCTCAGGGCCTCTAACATCCATTTCCATGACATTTTAGTACCTTCTTCTCTGGCAGGAATAGAAGGTGCTGGACACGGTCTGCCTTCGATTGTAAAATTTATAAGAAGCCTCATCAATCCCATTCAAAGAACGTGTATTGATCTCTCTACCAATGCAAAGAGATTTGTCATAATTCATGACTCCATAATGATGGATCATGTGAGGGATGTTCATTCATACCCGAACGTGAAGTCTTATATGTTCCACTCCATTTTAGCATTTGCCAGATATTCTTTGCTCCGACAATGTATTGATCACATAGTTGATGATGATGATCATGTAGGAATGATTGAGAAAATGCCGGATGAGTTTCCGTTATTGGAGAGTACGGTTGCACCATTTGCGGCAGTTTTACTTAGAAAGGAACATGAATGGAAGCTCAACTCGGGAGAAATCATAAACTTTTGCAGAGAACTAGAAGGTAAGTACTTAGATTTACTTACCAATGCAAAAGACAACAAGCCGTGGTTGGTTGTTGGTCCACTTCATATGCTGCTAGAATCACACGACTCTAGCAACAGGAGTCGTCATGAATGCCTAGAGTTTCTCGACAAGCAAGACGTTAATTCAGTAATATTGGTCTCGTTTGGAACAACCACTACATTCTCACAAGAGCAAGTCAGTGAGCTCGCACTTGGTTTAGAACAAAGCAACCATAAATTTATTTGGGTACTAAGAGAGGCGGATAAAAAGATGGAAAATGAAAAATTGGAAGTGAAAGATGAGAAGATTGAATTGCCAAAAGGGTTTGAAGAAAGAACGGAAGGAAGAGGAATGGTAGTAAGAAATTGGGCGCCCCAGTTGGAAATCTTGGGGCACCGATCTATAGGTGGATTTTTGAGCCACTGTGGGTGGAATTCTTGTATCGAGAGCATTAGTATGGGAGTTCCAATAGCAGCTTGTCCAAACAATGCAGACCAGCTTTATCACGCGGTTTTTGTGACTAGCGTGCTAAAGGTTGGAATCTCTGTGTGTAGTTAGGCTCACCGGGAAGAATTGGTGACAGCAAAGGCAATCGAGAAAGCTGTCAAGACTTTGATGGATACGACAGAAGGGGAAGAGATGAGGCAAAGGGCGATGGAATCGAGCGATAAGATCAAGAACTCTGTTAGCCGTGGAGGACTTGCACGCAAGGAAATGGAATGTTTCATATCATGTATTATCAGATAAAAGGTTGGACAATAGGTGAATTAGGGGAATGATGGACAGAGTTATTCGATATTATACTGCACAGAAAAACGGTAGGACAATACCTGTTAAATTAGTCGAGGTGCAGAAAAAAGTTGGCTCAGACACTACTGTTATCAAAAAGCTAAGGGAGAGGGAACATCAGTTTGGATGCTGTCTTGGCATAAGAAAATATAATATCCATTCATGCATCAGATAAATAAATGCCATACATATGAAAGTTTAAATTGTAACGAATAATTTTTTAGTTTACTTAATTATCTAATTAACAGGTTTCTTGGTTTAAGAGAAGTCAAACACTTTAATTAGTTGAATTTCTTAAATCTTCATATCACATGATGCCACGTTTATCGATAGAGTGGCACATTCATTTCTGTTCAATCTTTAAATGCATAACAACAACAAACTCAGTATAATCCCACATAGTAGGGTCTGGAGAGGGTAATGAGTACGCACACCTTACTCTTATCCCGTGGAGATAGAGAGAAATATTTAAATGCATATTAACTTGAAATAAGTATGAGAAGTATGATACAAGTATTTTCTGCAACTAAGCATCTAAGCTCATTATATTATACGTTACCTCATTTCGCAGTTCTTCTCTTCTTGTTCTTATGGATACCAACTCACCAGACAATATTGATCTGCTTAATGAAGTGATTGTGGCCATAGTGCCATTTCCTTATTATAGTCATATAAACCAGCTTTTCATCCTTGCTCGCTTCATCGCCTCCCATAATATACCAGTACATTTCCTCTGTCTTGCTAAACGAAACCAAGATTTGAAGCAACGCGTCCAAGATGGTTTGGATGTCTCTAACATTCTTTTCAATGACCTTTCGCTACCTTCTGAAACAAAAGATACCAGAGATGGTGGCGATGGTCTGGCATCGCTTCTACTCTTCTTGAAAAAACTTAGCGAGCCAATTCGTAGAACATGCCTTGAGCTGTCGACCAATGCAAAGAGATTAGTACTAATTCATGACACTATAATGAGGAGTTATATGGGGAATGTTCATTCATTCCCAAATGTAGAGTCTTATAAGTTCCATTCCTTTTCAGCTTTTACCAGATATTCTATGCTCCTACAAAGTATTGATGATATACTTGGCGATGATCATGATAAAATGATCGAGCAAATGCAGGATGAGTTTCTGTTGTTGGACAGTTGGGCTGCACCCGATATGGCAGTGTTTGTTAGGAAGGGACATGAGTGGACGCTCGGCTCAGGAGAAATAATCAACTCCTGTAGAGACCTGGAAGGTAAGTACCTAGATTTACTAGCCAATGCAATAGACAACAAGCCGTTGTGGGCTGTTGGTCCACTTCATATGCTGCTTGAGTCATACGACTCAAGCAACAGAACTCATCATGAATGTCTAGAATTTCACGACAAGCAAGACGTTAATACAGTGATACTTGTCTCATTTGGAACAACCACTACATTCTCACAAGAGCAAGTCCATGAGCTCGCGCTTGGTTTAGAACAAAGCAACCATAGGTTCATTTGGGTACTAAGAGAAGGTGATAAAAAGATGGAAAATGAGAAATTTGAAGAGAAAGATGGGAAGATTGAATTACCAGAAGGATTTGAAGAAAGAACGAAAGGAAGAGGAATGGTAGTGAGAAATTGGGCGCCACAATTGGAAATCTTGGGGCACCCGTCTACGGGTGGATTTTTGAGTCATTGCGGATGGAATTCTTGTATCGAGAGCATTATCATGGGAGTGCCTCTAGCAACTTGGCCAATCCAATACGACCAGCCTTATAACGCTATTCAGGTAACTAATGTGCTGAAGATTGGAACCTCTGTGAAGAGTTGGGCTCGTCGAGAGAAATTGGTGACAGCATCAACCATTGAGATAGCTGTCAAGACTTTGATGGGTACGACAGAAGGAGAAGAGATGAGGCAAAGGGCGATGGAGTTGAGCAATAAGATCAAGAGCTCTGATAGCCATGGAGGACTTGCACGCAAGGAAATGGAATCATTCGTATCCTATATTACCAGGTAACTTCATCGAGATCAGAAGAAAGTCAAGAAAGTCATCACGACATGCCCCTTTCAATCTTTCTTAGTTATGTTGATTAATCTTTTATCATTAGTAGTTCAT